TCTTTATTTCTTTAGGGATCAACCTCATACCTCAAATATATGTACCTTATCATCATCCCCATCTTATGTGATAAGGTTCATAACTCTAGCACCAATATTTTCAGATTTATCTCCCCTTGAACTTAGAATTTTCCTCAAAAAATACTATTTCTTACTGTTTCTTCTTAATTTCTTAAGGGATCAACCTCATACTTCAAATATATTTACGTTATCATCATCCCCATCTTATGTGACAAGGTTCATAACTCTAGCACCAATATTTTCAAATTTATCTCCCTTTGAACTTAGAATTTTCAATAAAAAATATTATTTTTTACTGGAATTTATTTATTTCTAAAGGGATCAACTTCATACTTCAAATATATTTACGTTATCATCATCCACATCTTATGTGACAAGGTTCATAACTCTAGCACCAATATTGCAAGAATTATCTCCCCATAAACTCAGATTTATTTACTAGAAAAATGTTATTTTTTATTTAAACTTTTTTATTTTTAAAGGTAACTACCTCAAACTTCAAATACTTATTCCTTATCGTCAATTACATTTTATGTGACAATGTTCATAACTCTTGAAGCAATATTTACAGATTTATCTCTCTTTGAACTTGGGATTTTCTTTAAGAAATATAATAACTTCTTTACTTTTTAAGGTATCTACTTCAAACTTCAAATATGTATTTCTTATCATTACACAAATGTTGTGTGGCAAGGTCCATAACTCTAGCATGACTATTTCTAGAATTATTCCCCTTGATCTTGGAATTTATGTTAACAATTGTTATTTTTTTACTATAACTTAATACATAATTATACATAATTGATTTGTCTTTCATAGTTTTGTCCTCCTTACTGCGTCCAGTATTTTATTAGTCGAGCTTCGCTGTCTCCTGTGACAGCTTTTGTTAGCTCACTTGTCACAAAGTGACATGGTGAGCTTTTGTGATTGCTTTTCGTCCGGCGTTCGACCATAAACCTTTACTTTAAAGGAAATCTCCTCATAAACCACTAAGCCAATTTTATCCAAACTTTACAGGAATGTTCCTTTGGTAGTCAACTTTAAAAATTGTTCCCAAGCAGAACTATGGTTGCCATGGCAACCTTAAGAAAAAACTTAAAATATCTTCTTTTAGAAAAGCGAAAGAGCTAGAGCTTAAATGTTTGGCATGATACATCATATAGTCAGTTTCAACCAAGTTTGTTCAAATAAATGCCCTTGGGGCCAAAATTGGCCACGCCCCAGGGGTCATTGTTTTTCCCTTTATGTATATAGTAAAAACTTAAAAAATCTCCTTTAAAAAACTCCAGAGCTAGAGCTAAGATATTTAGCATGAAACATCTTCTAATGGGTGTCTACCAAGTTTGTTCAAATAAAAGCCACTGGTTTAAAATTGACCTTTGCCCAGGGGCCTATTTACAGGTGAGTGATTTCAGGGCCATCGTGGCCCTCTTGTTTTGTAACTTTGAATAATGAATTTTGAATAGGGATATGATTTAATTTTGGTCATTAAATAATTGGATTAAAGGTTTGGCAAAAGTATGGGATAAGACTGTACATACAAATGTTCTGAAAACTTTGTAAGAGCCTTTGAGGTTAATGTATCTGACAATAGATCCTTTGCACCCTTGCTGCTCATCAATGACAAGCAGTTTCTTAGTAGTATACTGGTATAAAGTGGTTCTAGTCTGTGCAAGCTGGTACTTGTTATAATACGCACATCGGGCAGCAATCCAAACCTACACTAGAGCTAGGATTTACACTTTATCCTCGAGCCTGTTGACACATTTCAAATTAAACCAAACATGCCCAACTAAGAATCTAAAGAGGAAATATTGTATATTTGGATGGCTTCATTTTTTCATGTTTTTCTGACAATATTTTTTAAATTTTCAAAAGGAAAATTGCAGTTCTGTAAATGACAGCTCTTAGATTTCCAATTATATTTCTGTTAAAAACTGACATAACCACAATTACATGTTGTATTAATCTTTTAATCATGTATGTGTATGCACAATGTAGAGAGAAAATGCACTATATATCTGTTGATAAGTTGGAACAGCAGAAGCGTAAATTTAAAAGTACCCATGTAAGATTTGAGCAAGCATAGTAGTCTTGGGCCAACACCAAGTGCTTTATATCACGGAGAGGAGTCTCGCAAGCTTTTTGCGACAAAGTCAGACCGCTGTGCCAGTACTGTTGGCCTCAGGAAAAATGCATTTCTTTATGCAAATGAATAGTAAATATAAGGAGTAGGCTAAAGTCTGTTACACACATGACCACCTTATATTGCTATATAGGGAAGCCTCCCCTTTTTGAAAAGTTTCAAAAATATCTATCATAATTGAAGGGATATTGTTAAAAGCTTATTTCTATTCTAAGCTCTGGTACAGACCTGGTCTGGAGGTTATAAACTTTTTGTCCGAGTTCTGTCTCAAATCTAAGGATTTTCATTGGTCAGTGGACATTTTGTGGCAGTTTCTGACCAATCAAATACTTGAGATTTGATCTCAGAGAATTTCTTTATAACCTTGGACCCAGAACCATTTTTTGTAAAGCACCACCTAATGACCATTCCTGTAGTTTTATAAACAAGAGGGCCATGATGGCCCTGAGGTCGCTCACCTGTATATAGGCCCCACCACCCCTGGGCCAATTTTTACCCAAGGGCTTTTATTTGTTTATTTGAACAGACTTGGTAGACACCCATAAGTAAACATCTAAGTTCTAGCTCATTGGGTTTTTTAAAAGAAGATTTTTAAAGTTTTTACTATACACATATAGTTAAAAACAATGACACCCCTGGGGCAGGGCCAGTTTTGACCCCCGGGCTTTTATTTGAACAAACTTTGGAGATATTTACTTAAAGATGTTTCATGCTTAATATCTAAACTCTAGCTATTTGGGTTTTTTCAAAGAAGATTTTTTAAGTTTTTGCTATACACATATAAGGAAAATCAATGACCCCCCCCACCCGGGCGGGGCCAGTTTTGACCCCAGGGCTTTTATTTGAACATACTTGGTAGACACCCATTAGAACATGTTTCATGCTTAATATCTTAGCTCTAGCTCTTTGAGTTCTTTAAAAGAAGATTTTTTAAGTTTTTACTATATGCATATAGGGAAAATCAATGACCCCCTGGGGCGGGGCCAATTTTGACCCCAGGGCTTTTATTTGAACAAACTTGGTAGACACTCACTAGAAGATGTTTCATGCTAAATATCTTAGCTCTAGCTCTTTGGGTTCTTTAAAAGAAGATTTTTTAAGTTTTTACTATATGCATATAGGGAAAATCTATGACCCCCTGGGGCGGGGTCAATTTTGACCCCAGGGCTTTTATTTGAACAAACTTGGTAGACATTCACTAGAAGATGTTTCATGCCAAATATCAAAGCTCTAGCTCTTATGGTTCTTTAAAAGAAGATTTTTTAAGTTTTTACTATATGCATATAGGGAAAATCAATGACCCCCCGGGGTGGGGCCAATTTTGACCACAGGGCTTTAATTTGAACAAACTTGGTAGACACTCACTAGAAGATGTTTCATGCTTAATATCTTAGTTCTAGCTCTTTGGGTTCTTTAAAAGAAGATTTTTTAAGTTTTTACTATATGCATATAGGGAAAATCAATGACCCCCTGGGGCGGGGCCAATTTTGACCCCAGGGCTTTTATTTGAACAAACTTGGTAGACATTCATTAGAAGATGTGTCATGCTTAATATCTAAGCTCTAGCTCTTACGGTTCTTTAAAAGAAGATTTTTTAAGTTTTTACTATATACATATAGGGAAAATCAATGACCCCCCCGGGGCGGGGCCAATTTTGACCCCAGGGCTTTTATTTGAACAAACTTGGTAGACACTCACTAGAAGATGTTTCATGCCAAATATCTTAGCTCTAGCTCTTTGGGTTCTTTAAAAGAAGATATTTAAAGATTTTTCTTTCGGTTGCCATGGCAACCAGAGTTCTGCATGGAATTAAATTCTTTGAACAATTTTTAAAGGTGACCACCAAAGGAACATTCCTGTGAAGTTTGGATGAAATTGGCTCCGTGGTTTATGAGGAGATGTCATTTAAAGCAAAAGTTTACGGACAGACGACGGACGAAAAGCGATCACAAAAGCTCACCCTGTCACTTTGTGACAGGTGAGCTAAAAATTATCAGGTGATTGAGGAGATATCTTTTACAGGTTTTTTTATTAACTCCGGCTACCATCTTGTGAAATTCAATTTTTATAGAGGTAAACCAAGGGAGCATTTTTGTTGTTTCATCTTTATTGGCAAAGAGTGTGCTCACGTAAGTTTATCCAGTGCCGCTGCCTTGCTTCCTTAATGTTGTCACCAAGACTTTTATTTATTTATTTTTACATGCTTATGCATAGTTGTAATACCTCCAATATTTGTTTTTGGTTGGGTTATATGTTGCACAAACTCAATATAGGTCATATGGCAACTTTTTAGCTCTAGTTTCTTGTAGAGGAAGACTGATCAAGGTGCCACTCATCATTTTAGGCACACAAGCACCCTGAGTAGAACCTAGCTAGTAGAACCACAGACATTCCGTGACCTAGCTGGGATTTGAACACACAGCAGTTAGGAGCAAGTTGTTCCCAAATTTTTAAGCAATAACAAGACAATTTTACATCTATTATAACAATCCAGACCAATAGGGCCCTACTTTACCAATCATATTAAATATTTCCAACAGCAGCCAATGGTTTATTCAAAAATAAAATCTATTTATGTACTATCCATGCTTCAAGTTTAAGGAATAAATTTGATAAGTGTCTTGGTGTCTGCATGTTTTCCTTGATTGATGTAAATAGCAGTTATGCATTGATTGAAGCAGTTATAATCTGCTTATAATCTACTATCACTATTACTTTTTATTTGAATTATTTTAAGTAAATTTGAAATGCCTGGTAAAATCAAGGTTGAACTGTTTTTCAACTTTCATGTTTACATAGAAGGAAAGGAAATAAGAAAAGAACAAAACAGAACCACTGAATGAATGTTTATTATCCAGTGTGGTACAGCAAATGTCATTTTAAACTTTGTAACCTCTGCTTCCACGACGTCCTCTAGCCTTCTCAAACTTGCGTCCCTTGGAACGTACAAATGGCCTGAAATAGATAGTAATCCATTTCAAACATTCTTCAAGATTGGTTTGCAATTACATTCATATTTTTATCTGATTTTTTAATAGTCAACTGCCAAAGTACAACTTTACTTGTATATATATTTTAGTTGTGTAAATCCTTATTTACAACCCACTAAAATCACACTTGCCGAGGTAATAATTCTCAAATAAAGTTGGGTAGACAACTGAAGCTGCAAAACATACTGAGAATTTGACAGTAAATAATGCAGAAATATTTACAAAGAGTAACAGTTCCATGCTACAGTTATCGGTCTTTTGTGGGTGATCCACAATTACCACCCAAAAGACAATTTTGAAATAAAAACATGGTGGTTGTGGAGATTGAATTAGCATGCTTAACTTAAACAAGAATTTTTTTTAGTTAACAGGTTACAACTTGCTGATAACAGTAATCTATAATTATGATCCCAAATACAAGGGTGATGGGTTAAGCAAAAACTGTAAGTGGTTAATGAGATATAGATTAACACAAAATTGTGACAAAATGTTCCATTACGCTACTAAAATTTAAATACAAATTTTACGCCCCACTGAAAAAAAGTTGTATTTAATTGCTCAACAGCAAAACTGAAAAATCTAATACTTTTAGACAGATTGAAAAAGTAAATAACATACGCAGTATTGCTGTGTGGAACACCTGGTGCTCTACCGAAGTGTCTGAATGCTTCACGTGCCTTTCTACGACCTGTTAATAGAAGAACTTCTGTTTAGGAACATAAATACATTTAAATGATCATTCGACGACAAGTATGGAGTTATCTTCATAACCATATTAACCTGAAGTTGTAGTGAATAAACATTAACTAACCTAAAACATAATATAACATATTGCTAGTGTTCATGTTATCTTACTTTGTCTTCATAACACAAGTGTTCTGCTATAACCAAGAGTTATAGCAAAAAAACATTAATTTACCATGCATAAAACGTCAAAATATGAACTATTCTGAAGCTGGAGCTTGGCTATCAATACAAGTTATCTAAAGAATTCTCTGAAATGTATAGTTTTGTCTTCGTAACATAGGTGTTAAATGAACACAAAGTTATAGCGGACAAACATTACTTTACCAGGCATAAAACGTCAAAATATATAATATCTTGAAGCTGGAGCCTGGCCCTCAATACCCTTAAACTAAATTGATAAAACTGTGTAGTTATGTCTTCGTAACAAAAGTGTTATATAAACACAAAGTTATAGCGGAAAAACATTATTTTACCAGACCTAAAACGTCAACATATACAATATCTTAAAGCTGGAGCCTGGCCCTCAATACCCTTAAACTAAATTTATAAAACTGTGTAGTTATGTCTTCGTAACAAAAGTGTTATATAAACACAAAGTTATAGCGGACAAACGTTATTTTACCAGGCATAAAACGTCAAAATATACAATATCCTGAAGCTGGAGCCTGGATTATGATAGTGATAAGTCATCTTTATCAATAATTATCTGAGATGTGTAGTTAAATCAACGTAACGAAAGTGTTATATAAACACAGAGTTATAGCGGACAAACATTTTCTATACCAGACCTAAAACGTCAAAATATACAATATCTTGAAGCTGGAGTCTGGCCCATGATATAATCTACAAGTTAATTAAATTTACAATAAAGCTGTGTAGTTTTACAAACAAACAAAATCTCTTCTATATTTGTCGGAACACCAATTAATTTTTCAACATTGTTATTTCCATCTATAGTCAGCCATATTGAAACTAAACATTAAGCATTACAATTTATGCAATGGCGTTAGATAAATTTTTCCTGCAACATGATCAATATACATTTACGTCTCATACAAATTTGTCTTTTATTCTAAATTATAAGAATTCAAAAATAATACATGTAAAACAGTCAAGGTTTCTAGTACAGTGTAACTTCTGAAAACCGAACACCTGTAGGACTAGCCAAAAAGTTTGAAATTTGGAAGTTTCCGGAATTCAGAAGTTCGAAATCATTAGATTAACATTGAACACCAATTGTTTAAGACATGATGAAAATATAAGAAGCTTATTAAATCTATAAAATGACAAAATTTTAAGATTTTTAAAAAGTTATAATAACTACATTGTATATTAAAGTTCATTATCACTTATAATTAAAGTTCATTATCACTTATAAACTAAATGTGTTGAGAAAAAGCATAATTTCATGTTGTACCAGCTATTAATAAGCTGTATTTTTTGTTTTTCATCAAAATATACTTATCATTTTTTAATTTTTCACACTTTAATCAAGTGTTTGACATGCTTAACAAGTTGTGATTGTAACAGGTGTCAAGATAATTGGTTTCTGCTAATTGGAAGATACTGACATTTTAAAGGTTTTACAATCTCAATTATAATATTCCTTCACACCATTTTCAATTTCCGGATTTTGGAAGTAAATTTGAATTAATATAACCCAAATTTTACCGGAAAATCGTTCGGAATTCAGAATTTAAAAGTTCCGGAATTCAGAGGTATTACATAGAAAACAGGAGAAATTTCGAGACCCTGAAAAATGTTCAGATTTCATTAGTTTCCGGATTTTAGAAGTTCCGGAATTCAGAAGTTTAGATAAACATTAAGTTATAGTGGACAAACATTCACTTTACCAGACCTAAAACGTCAAAATATGCAATATCGTGAAGCTGGAGCCTGGACCTGAATACATCTGAGCTGCCAAAATTTACAGGTATCCGGACAATTCCCCTCCCAGTAAATTTGAATGTTTTTTCACAACCCGGACATTTCCCCTCCCGTTATTTTTTTACGGCGGACAATTCCCCTCCCGTTTATTTTACAGGGCGGACAATTCCCCTCCCGTTATTTTAGCAGAGCGGACAATTCCCCTCCCGCTGTTGTCAAAGCGGATAATTTCCCTCCCGTGGCTGTTGAACATATATATGTTATAATATTGTGTATTTGAAAGGTATTTTTAATCGACTTTAAATACATTTTGCTTGTCTATATTGACATGAATATAAACAAAACGCATTTTTTTGTTAAAATAATCTTTATTTCGTCAATACATTTCTGCAGCGGTAAAATAATTGTAAATAATTGGTTTTGCAAATAATGATTCTTAAAAGTTCCGATCTTTAACAGTTTTTTGTTAAGAGTAAAACTGTCATCTTTAATAAGAATGGTTTTAGATTTTTTTATACGCAGTGGCGGCTATGATTAAGGGTCGTATAATGTCACGTTCCGCTCTGTGAAAAAACGGGAGGGGAATTTGTCCGCTCCGCTAAAATAACGGGAGGGGAATTGTCCGTCCTATAAAATTAACGGGAGGGGAAAAGTCCACCCTATTAAAATAACGAGAGGGGAAATGTCCGGGTTGTGAAAATAATATGGAAGGGGAATCGTCCGGGAGGGGGATTGTCCGGGATTCAAATTTACACTATACAGTCGGCATCGTACTTGCGTCCACCTTTATTAAGCGACTTTTTTATTAAGCGGCCGCATAAAATCCCTCCCGATGATTTTTACTATTTAATTTAATTCCATTAAACGACTATTTCATATCGCGGCCAGCGGCCACTGAATGTCGGCCCAAATGTACAAAATTAAGTGTTAAAGTATCTATTAAACGGCCGTGACAAACAATCGTCCCTGCGGGCATTCTCACCTGTGTAATTAGCGAGTAGGTTAGATGTGTACAAGCAAACAAACAAATATTTTTCATGGTCAATGGTCACAAATAATTGTCGTTTAAAAACGAAATGAATAACAATTGCAATCGTTTCAAAATCGATTTTCCGATCGTAATATTTATTTTGACATATTTTGTCAGAGCAATAACGTATCACAACACCGCATTTGCATAGTTTTGTCATGTGCTCAGAGTGACCTCCCTTATCGATCTTATCGAAAATGACGTCGGATCGAGCGAAAAAAAGACAGACAACTAATAAGACCGGATAAATTTTATGAGGAAATCGTGCATGAAATTGAGTCTGAGTAAATAGCAAATGTCATCGATTGTAGTCGAAATAAAATCGTGAAACGTAGTGGACTAAACATTACAGAACCGAGCCTTTCATTGCTGATGGTGTAGGTGCTCATCTGATGCTTTATAAAATACATGTAGTATCCCAATAAATATGACCCTTCGACAAAAAAAGACAAAAAATCCTAGATCTCTAAAAATCTTATTGAATTTGAAATCGGGGTAGTGTGAAAACTAATTATTAAAAATTAAGAAGTTTATTAAAAATTAAGAAGTTTAAAACTCATTGCATAAAAAAATTATCTGGAGCTCTTGCTGATGATTGTAAAGTATGTTCAGCAGGAGATGTGTATGAACATATTAAAAATATAAGACAACATGCTTTGTTTCATGGTCAAAATGACCTGTTGACAGTATTATGAGCGTAGATCACATTTGTACACAAATTTCTACTAAAAAACAAAAACAAACAATATTGATGACTATTTTTAAAAAAAGGCATATTAAATGTAATTATAAAACTGTAATACATACATAATATTGTATAGTTTTTGTTTTTATAAAAAAGATGTTATTATATCTATGACTTGTAATAAAATGTCTCGAATGTTCCAGAATTCTATTGAGAGACCACTTTATTAAGAGACCACTTTTTGGCAGTCCCTTGAGTGGCCTCTTAATACAATGTCGACTGTACAATTTATCTAAATCAACAAATATCTGAGATGTGTAGTTTTGTCTTCGTAACATAGGTGTTAAATGAACACAAAGTTATAGCGGACAAACGTTATTTTACCAGGCATAAAACGTCAAAATATACAATATCTTGAAGCTGGAGCCTGGATTATGATAGTGATAAGTCATCTTTATCAATAATTATCTGAGATGTGTAGTTAAATCTACGTAACGAAAGTGTTATATAAACACAGAGTTATAGCGGACAAACATTTTCTATACCAGACCTAAAACGTCAAAATATACAATATCTTGAAGCTGGAGCCTGGACTAAAATACATTCCTTTGTCTGAATTATAAATAAAGCTGTGTAGTTTTGTAAGTGAAGTCAAAGTATCACCAAAGCAAAATAATAATATCCATAGCTATCCTAATTACTACAAGACATACTTCACCAAGTATCAATTTGATACTTAAACACGGGGATAGCTGACAAATTGACCAAAATGTTTAGAAAACAATACATATATATCTCTTTTAGATATTTACATAAAGATGTGTGGGTTTATCTCTGTAACAAAAGTGTTACATCAACACATAGTTAAGGACAAACTGTTACCTTACCAGACCTAAAACGTCAAAATATACAATATCTTGAAGCTGGAGCCTGGCTCTCAATACCCTTAACCTAAATTTATAAAACTGTGTAGTTATGTCTTCGTAACAAAAGTGTTATATAAACACAAAGTTATAGCGGAAAAACATTATTTTACCAGGCATAAAACGTCAAAATATACAATATCTTGAAGCTGGAGCCTGGACCCCAATACCCTTAACCTAAATTTATAAAACTGTGTAGTTATGTCTTCGTAACAAAAGTGTTATATATAAGCGGAAAAACATTATTTTACCAGGCATAAAACGTCAAAATATACATTATCTTGAAGCTGGAGCCTGGCCCCCAATACCCTTAACCTAAATTTATAAAACTGTGTAGTTATGTCTTCGTAACAAAAGTGTTATATAAACACAAAGTTATAGCAGAAAAACATTATTTTACCAGACCTAAAACGTCAAAATATACAATATCTTGAAGCTGGAGCCTGGCCCCCAATACCATAACCTCAATTTATAAAACTGTGTAGTTATGTCTTCGTAACAGTGTTATATAAGCGGAAAAACATTATTTTACCAGACCTAAAACGTCAAAATATACAATATCTTAAAGCTGAAGCCTGGACCTCAATATACTTAATTTACATTAAATCAACAAAACTGTTATGCAATTTCATCTATGTTAACCATGAATCACTTTTGAAACAAAACCACAACAAGCTGATAGGACAAAAACGTCTGAAGTTTAAGCTTAAAATCAGTTATCATGCACAATGGGCATGCTATTTCAAAGACAACATAGGGGTTCAGTATTAGGAAACAACTCTCAATCAAGTTTATATCAGAGAGGGCAAGTTCCACTCATCATAACCAGTAAATTAACAAATTTGTTGAAAATCCATGTATTTTACAAAACATTTTTTCAAGATGACTTACACAAAATATGGTTCAGTGAATTGGAAACATTTCTCAATCAAATGTAAATCAGAGAGGGCAAGTTTCACTCATCATAACCAGTGCAAGTGCATTTCAAAAATAGGCAAGTTTTGGTTTTAGATATTATATCAAGGATGTGTAGCTTTATCTCTGTAGCACAAGTGTTATATAAACATATGGTTAAGGACAAACATTTACTTTAAACAGACCTAAAACGTCAAAATATACAATAATTATATCTTAAAGCTGGAGCCTGGACCTCAATACCCGTAACCTAAATTTATAAAACTGTGTAGTTATGTCTTCGTAACAAAAGTGTTATATAAACACAAAGTTATAGCAGAAAAACATTATTTTACCAGACCTAAAACGTCAAAATATACAATATCTTGAAGCTGGAGCCTGGCCCACAATACCACAACCTCAATTTATAAAACTGTGTAGTTATGTCTTCGTAACAAAAGTGTTATATAAACACAAAGTTATAGCAGAAAAACATTATTTTACCAGACCTAAAACGTCAAAATATACAATATCTTGAAGCTGGAGCCTGGACCTCAATATACTTAATTTACATTAAATCAACAAAACTGTTATGCAATTTCATCTATGTTAACCATGAATCCAGACTTCCCGAAATACGTCGGTCCGACGGACATGTCCGATAAATTTTGATCAGGTCCGACAATTTTTTATTCCGGATCGGTCCGACTGTCCGGCTTTTATCCAAGCCGCATGTATACAAAATGGCGTCGCTAAAGGTGCCAAACCTTGGAAAAACCGAAAATCTACGTCAGAAGAGTGCACAGAAAAGCAATAAAATGATGAAAATATAAGACCTGAGACAAAATTTAATGAAAAATGAAAGCAGAACCATGAATCATTGGTGTATGACAGGGAGGAGATGAAAATGCGCTGTACGGATTGTGCCGATTTTTACGGCGAAAAAATAAAAAACAAAAAGTGTCTTAGAAATACAAACACAAGTTTTTCTTTGATTTTGATCAATTTTATTTGGTCCGACAGATTTTGTTTCGGTCCGACAGATTTTCATAGTTTGTCAGACCGAATGTCTGACAGTTTTTTTCAACTTTCGGGAAGTCTGTGAATCACTTTTGAAACAAAACCACAACAAGCTGATAGGACAAAAACGTCTGAAGTTTAAGCTTAAAATTAGTTATCATGCACAATGGGCATGCTATTTCAAAGACAACATAGGGGTTCAGTATTAGGAAACAACTCTCAATCAAGTTTATATCAGAGAGGGCAAGTTCCACTCATCATAACCAGTAAATTAACAAATTTGTTGAGAATCCATGTATTTTACAAAACTTTTTTATAAGATGACTTACACAAAATATGGTTCAGTGAATTGGAAACATTTCTCAATCAAATGTAAATCAGAGAGGGCAAGTTCCACTCATCATAACCAGTGCAAGTGCATTTCAAAAATAGGAAAGTTAAGAATCAAAGAATTTTTTAAATAGAATTTCCGAGAAATTCACTCTTATATCTTGGGTTCCCTGTAAAAATAAGCTTGATAAAAGTGCACGCACCTTGCATAAGAACTGTGTTTTGTCCTTTCGGGGATTTTAGTGCCAGCTGGTCAAAGGTTATGATTTCCCCACCTGCTTTCAGGATTCTTCCACGAGCACGTTCTGTGACTTTAAGTGCACAGATCTGAAACATGTTTAGCTGTGTTTATTCCATGTTATGACGTTAACTTGTTGGAAGATACTCTAAATATATTTATTTCAGGCAGATCAAACTAAAACATTTTTAAAGATATTGTAAAAGCATATATCATAAATAATGATTTTCAGCTTAATATATATATATTAAACTGACATGATGTTCATTTTTTATTGTTGAGTTGTATTAACTATATATTTCAAAAGATTGGCATTTATGGTGATTAATTAACAATTGTTTAGGATAAAATATATATCTGCCTAAAACAAGAGCCGGTTGAACCGGGTGATGCTCCCCGAATAGGCTTTGGACACAGGAAGGTATACCTCTTGTTGTGTCAGAGTTATGTCACAGACAAAGTTCAAAGTGTAAAAACAACCCAAATATTGTGCACGACACATTGTCTAAATATGGTGATCATTTTTGTGAAATAGTTGTAAAATCCGATTTCAAATAACAAAGTAATGCGCCTGACATTATTTTGCTGCAAGGTCATGCTGTGACCTTGACCTTCAACGTAGTGACCTAAATGTTGCATGCGACACGTCGATACAATATGGTGATCATCTCTGTGAAATACTTGTTAAATCCGACTTCCAGTAACAAAGTTATGGGCCAGACACGATTTTGCTGCAAGGTCATACCGTGACCTTGACCTTCAAGGTAGCGACCCAAATGCTGCGCGCGACACAATGTCTCATTGTGGTGATCATTTCTGTGAAAAAGTTGTAAAATCTGACTTCAAATAATGAAGTTATGTGCCGGACACAATTTTGCTTCAAGGTCATGCTGTGACCTTGACCTTCAAGGTAGCGAGCCAAATGTTGCTCATGACACGCCAGTTTAATATGGTCATCATTTCTGTGAAATAGTTTAAAAATCTGACTTCAAATAAGGAAGTTATGGGCCGGACACAATTTTGCTGCAAGGTCATGCTGTGACCTTGACCTTCAAGGTAGCGACTTAAATGTTGTGCATGACACGTCATCTTAATATGATGATCATTTCTGTGAAATACTTTTTAAATCTAACTTCAAATAGGGAAGTTATGGGCCGGACACGATTTTGCTGCAAGGTCATGCTGTGACCTTGACTTTCAAGGAAGCGACCCACATGTTGTACGCGACACGTCGTCTCAATATGGTAATCATTTCTGTGGAATATTTTTTAAATCCGACTTAAAATAACAAAGTTATGGACCGGACACGATTTTGCTGCAAGGTCATGCTGTGACCTTGACCTTCAAGGTAGCGACCCAAATGTTGCGCGCGACAAGTTGTCTCAATATGGTGATCATTTCTGTGAAATATTTTTAACATCCAACTTCAAATAACAAAGTTATAGACCGGACACGATTTTGCTGCAAGGTCATGCTGTGACCTTGACCTTCAAGGTAGCGACCCAAATGTTGCGCACGACACGTCGTCTCAATATGGTGATCATTTCTGTGAAATATTTTTAAAATCCGACTTCAAATAATGAAGTTATGGACCGGACACGATTTTGCTGCAAGGTCATGCTGTGACCTTGACCTTCAAGGTAGCGACCCAAATGTTGCGCGCAACACGTCGTCTCAATATGGTGATCATTTCTGTGAAATATTTTTAAAATCCAACTTCAAATAATGAAGTTATGGACCGGACACGATTTTGCTGCAAGGTCATGCTGTGACCTTGACCTTCAAGGTAGCGACCCAAATGTTGCGCGCGACACGTCGTCTCAATATGGTGATCATTTCTGTGAAATAGTTTTAAAATCCGACTTCAAATAACGAAGTTATGGGTCGGACACGATTTTGCTGCAAGGTCATGCTGTGACCTTGACCTTCAAGGTAGCGACCCAAATGTTGCGCGCGACACGTCGTCTCAATATGGTGATCATTTCTGTGAAATAGTTTTAAAATCCGACTTCAAATAATGAAGTTATGGACCGGACACGATTTTGCTGCAAGGTCATGCTGTGACCTTGACCTTCAAGGTAGCGACCCAAATGTTGCGCGCGACACGTTGTCTCAATATGGTGATCATTTCTGTGAAATAATTTTAAAATCCGACTTCAAATAACAAAGTTATGGGCCGGACACGAATTCGGGACGTACGTACGTACGGACTGACGGACGGACAACCCGACGACTATATGCTCCCCCGAAATTTTTCGGGGAGCATAATAAAACAAGAGGGCTATGATGGCCCTGAAATTAATCACCTGTATATAGCACAGGTGGCAGTATCAGTGTTTGGACACCCAACCCTATCTGCCCCTGGATCCCTACTTCAACCCTGAAAATAATAATTCAACATTCTATGGGCTATAAGGTACCAAATATAAAACCAACGATAAAATTTTAAAATGAAAATTTCCACTATCAAAATTATAGTTATAGAAAGGTGAAAGCCTACTATATATATTTTCATTTAACAAACAATGTGGAACACGGGAAATCGTTGTTTTGGCAACTGAGGTGCATTCAGGTGGGATTTCGCTGCATCATTCATTAACATCAATAAAAAGAACTAGAATTCCACAACTTATCTAATTCATGTCCAACGAATATCAATATTCTATCGATTATTGTTTATCGGTATTTTTTGACTTGTTGCTGCCATTTTGGATTCTGATACCTGTGTGGAATATGCGATCTGATTGGACTTCCAAATTGGCTCGTCCAATCAGATCCTGTATTTCAACCCAGGTATCAGACTGCAAAATGGCTGCGACAATTAAAAAAGTACCCTGAAACAGGAAAAAATCGGAATGATATTGATATTCGTTGGACATGAATGAGATAAGTTGTGGAATTCTAGTTCTTTTTATTGATGTTAATGAATGATGCAGCGGAATCCCGTCGGAATGCGCCTCAGTCACCGAAACGACGATTTCCCGTGTTCCACATTGTTTGGCAAATGAACATATAGTAGGCTTTTCACCTGTCTATAACTATAATTTTGATAGTGAAATTATTTTTTTTATAATTTTATCGGTGGTTCTGTATTTGACACCTTATAGTAAGCCGTAGTGTTGAATTTTTTTTCAGGGTTGTAGTAGGGGTCCATGGGCAGATAAGGGTGGGTGTCCAAACACTGATACTGCCACCTGTGGTATATAGGCCCCTGGGGCAGGGCCAATTTTAACCCTAGGGCTTTTATTTGAACAAACTTGGTAGACAATGTTTAATGATAAATATATAAGCTCTATCTCTTTGGGATTTTTATAAGATTTTTTAAGTTTTAACTATACACATATAGGGAAAAACAACCCCCCCCCCCCTGGGCGTGACCAATTTTGACCCCAGGGCTTTTATTTGAACAAACTTTGTAGACACTCACTAGAAGATGTTTCATGCTTAATATCTAAACTCTAGCTATTTGGGTTTTTTCAGTTTTTACTATATGCATATAGGGAAAATCAATGACCCCCTGGGGCGGGGCCAATTTTGACCCCCAGGGCTTTTATTTGAATAAACTTGGTAGACACTCATTAGAAGATGTTTCATGCTAAACATCTCAGCTCTAGCTCTTTGGGTTCTTTAAAAGAAGATTTTTAAGTTTTTACTATATGCATATAGGGAAAATCAATAACCCCCTGGGGCGGGGCCAATTTTGACCCCAGGGCTTTTATTTGAACCAACTTGGTAGACACTCACTAGAAGATGTTTCATGCCAAATATCTAAGCTCTAGCTTTTTTAGGGTTTTTTAAAAGAAGATATATAAAGTTTTTTGCAACCAGAGTTCTGCTTTGAACAATTTTTAAAGGTGACCACCAAAGGAACATTCCTGTGAAGTTTGGATGAAATTGGTTCAGTGGTTTATGAGGAGATGTCATTTAAAGTAAAAGTTTACGGCCGGACCAAAAGCGATCACAAAAAATTCAAGCTAAAAACGAAAAGAATAATGGCAAAATGTATACTTATTTTGACTTACCTGTTCACTAACCATATACCCTTGGATGGGCATAAACACCACAGAAATTTTCAATCGAAAAGATGTAACTTTCGCACTGTATTATAATGCAAAACTTTTCTGCCATAAGCTTCAATTTAAATCTAATTAACCTTTTATAACAAGGTCAAAGAAAATTTCAAATGACTAAGCATTTTAAAAGGCATTCCAATGACAAACCTTAAGCTTTGGAACCTCAAGAAGTCTCAAATCATCTGTGACTGTACCAACACACACAGCAGTCTTTCCTTCTCTACCAGACCTTTTCATCATTCTAGTCTGAAAGATAGATACAACATTAAATGAATCAATATTATTTATTACATGTCTTAGTACTCTAGCCCAGAACTTTCTACATCATTCTGAGTCCAAGTAGGCGAGAATAAATGCTGTTTCCCTTGGCCTAAAATAAGTATATTTTAACCTGAAATGCCCTGTGAACATTCTTCACCAGAACCATGACTTGACAGCAGCTAACTTATATCAGCTAGTTAATAAATCTAATTGACTAAAAGAAAGAAGTACCACGTGCATTTTAAATTAAATTGAAAATTTTATTAAATGTGTGGGTAAATATCATTCTCAGTTATAGGTTTTCCCTTTTCCCCGATGCGAAATACTATCGTACTATATTTTCCCCTTCAGAAAACCACAGTTTTTTTCCAGTGTTTTGAAAACTGAAAAAAAATCACTGAAGCAAAAATATTAAGACCAAAGAGGAAAAACTAAATATTGGGTAGAGTGACATGAATTATATCTCTTAATTTACACAAATACTTTGCGGAAGCCAACTTAGTACAGCATACACAAATTCAAACTAGAAATGTGTCCATAGGACACAGGTGCCCCCACACTCCACCGATTTGTCAATATTATGTCTCTAGGTCAAATTTTTTTTTGGCTACATGTGCCAAAGTTGAAAACTAAAATATCCGCACGAAAATACCCAGGTGCACAACTACACATGCTGAGCAATATTCTTGTAAGGTTTCATTACTCTAGGTCAAATACTTTTTTAGTTCCAGCGACATAAGTTGAAAATTGCAAATTTTTACTAAGTCAAGGGCAATAAACATATCCACATGAAAATACCCAGGTGCACAACTTCACATGCTTATTAACATTCCTGTAAGGTTTCATGACTCTAAGTCAATTACTTTTTGAGCTACGTGCGACACAAAAAGAGAACGGACAGACAGACGGACACACAAGGGTAAATCTAAATGCACCCATATAGTGGGGGCACAAAAATCGAACTAATTTAAACTCCAAAGTATTTAAATGCTAATGGAATTATGTAAGAAACCACAGCTGGTCTAATAGTTTTTAACTGTCTTTATAATAATTAATGCCGCAACCTACCAGTCTAGCAATGGAAAGTGGTGGTCTATTGGTCTTGCTCATGAACAACCTCTTCAAGATGATTTTGTTGAACTTTGCATTGGTACGTCTTGCCAAGAACCTGTACAACTAAACAAACAAACAAAAATCAAATTATTTTATCTTTAATATACAAATATACAACTGAACTAAATGGTTTCATCTAAATAAATATTATAAATAATCATCTAAATAAATATTATAAATAATATCACTAGCTAAATTCTAAATCTGGATATTTTGCATATCACCCCAAATACAGTATTACTATAAATTTGAATGACATTTTAAATTTTGGTACATATTATGTAACATTTGTTTCATACAAAATATAAGCCCATGCTCCGTCAGCATGTAAGAATATATTACTCCATTCAAAAATTTGGACTCAACCTGTAAAACTATCTTAGCTGAATAGCTTACTCAATTGGAATTCCAAACTTCCTGGTGGACAGTCTGTAACTTTATGAACCTTACAAATTTTAAGATTTCTTAATTTATAAATTTACTGACTGAAGTATTCAAAGTTGTTTGTAACTACAAAATAGCAAGGTGAAATGTATAAAATATTGATTAAAAAGCATAAACACATATATGATGATACATGTGTGTAGCTTGTAAGCTTCAGAACATTTTGATAATTTAAAATATCAACTTTAGAAAATTTCAAAGTCATCCTAAAGTGACAAACTTTCATAGTTCTACTAGGTTGTATGCCAATTTAACACGTTTTTGAAAAACAATCCATCTTATTCTAAGCGACTTCCCAGGAAACCTAATTAAAACATTTTGTTCCGGGAGATACCAGTAGACCTAGCTTAAGGTCTTCAGCATACCCGTTTATATACTATGACACGATGTGAACACTGAAGACAGACCCGTAGGGAAAGTCCACCAATAATCGTGCCAGGAATCTGACAGGCTCGTGTCTGACACGTTCATCGAACATGCCATGAAGTAAAGCAAAGCATACCTTGATAAAACTATGTATAATCTGTTGATAAGCCAAGGATGGACACATAAAAAACTTATTACGAATAAAAACTACCTTATAGTTTGCGACAGGTAAAAAATTCAGCACTTGGCCACCATATTGCCAAAATGTTTGACCACGTGATTAACCTTTATGGGTTAATTTGCACGGACGGTTAAGAAAACAGAAGCCATGTACTTCCAACTTTTTTATAAATTACTTTTTTTCAAGATATTGAAAATGGTGATTTACTGACTAAAGTTCCAGATAATGTGCGTATCGGCGTATTTTACGCTTCAAAATCAACTAAATACGCACCATATTTCAAATTTCTTGCGTTCATTTCGCATGCTATAAATTAAATACGCAAAGAATGAAAAATCTAAGCGTATTTGGTGTGTACTTTCATTTTCGAAACAGCTGATTCTGTTTAACAGTTGACGTGTTTTTTTCCCCGTTTAATACCCGCCAAAATAACTCAAACTATTTTTCATTCTGTAAACCAGTCCAATTATGTCTTTATCGCATAGGCGCTTGGTAAAATGTGTTGCTTGATTTCCTTTATAATTGCAAGCGTTTATTTATAAAGACTTGCATCATGGCTGCTTCCAAGCAAAAGCAGAGGAAAATTAACAATTTTTTTAACACGACTGAGTTGCCTGCTAAAACAATTGTAAACCCAATTGTTGAAGACATTTTAGATAGTGTATTTAAAGTGAAAAGGGCGCACATAACTGTGAATCGCAATACAACACTTGAAAATTGGCAAAAAAGTTATCCGTGGCTGCAAATTTCAGAAACTGGTATTGAAGTGCGAATGAAATGTCTGACTTGTCATAAATTTAAAGCTGGCAATGTATGGGCTAATGAAGGTGCAATAAATATACAGAAATCGGCAATTGACAGGTGATTATTTGTAACGTTATTGTTTATGTATTGTCACCGATTTTTGAACAATGTAAAATAAAATTAAGAATATGGTAAAGGCCTTATGGCTGAAGCCTTAATATCAGAGAATGGTCATTATGGTGTGTTAATTTCAATGTAAGAAACCTGTGATGCAGCAAAACAAGAGGGCCATGATGGCCCTGAAGTCGCTCACCTGTATATAGGCCCCCGGAGCGGGGCCAGTTTAAACCCCAGGGCTTTTATTTGAACAAACTTGGTAGACACCCATTAGAAGATGTTTCATGCTAAACATCTAAGGTCTAGCTGGTCAAGTTTTTTCTTTACACATATAGTTAAAAACAATGACACACCTGGGCCAGGGGCAGTTTTGACCCCAAGGGCTTTTATTTAATTATTTATTTAATCTTTGTAGACACTTACTAGAAAATGTTTCATGCTTAATATCTAAACTTTAGCTATTCAGGTTTTTTCAAAGAAGATTTTTAAGTTTTTGCTATACACATATAAGGAAAATCAATGTCCCCCGGGGCGGGGTCAATTTTGACCCCAGGGCTTTTATTTGAACAAACTTGGTATACACCCATTAGAAGATGCTTCGTGCTTAATATCTTAGCTCTAGCTCTTTGGGTTCTTTAAAAGAAGATTTTTAAAGTTTTTACTATATGCATATAGGGAAAATCAATGACCCCCTGGGGCGGGGCCAATTTTGACCCCAGGGCTTTTATTTGAACAAACTTGGTAGACACTCACTAGATGCTTCGTGTTTAATATCTTAGCTCTAGCTCTTTGGGTTCTTTAAAAGAAGATTTTTAAATTTTTTACTATATGCACAGTGATTAATCTAGAAATTCCTTACAATGCGTCGGATGACGCACATGTTTGAAAACAATGAGTCCTTTAGCAAAATCAATGAGTCATGTAGCAAAATAAATGCTTCTTAGCAGAAATTTTTTTTTAATAGCAGATCCTTGACATGATTTGCATGTTTTTATAACAAGCGATTAAGTAATTAAAGTGTATAAAAAAGTTTTTTTTTGGTACTAATATTAATTGCAGGCAAAACAATTTTTATTGGCTGCTCAAAAATCTAATTTGCATAATTTATATTTTCTTACTACTTAGGTCTAATACTGTGCATTATCCATTTTAATTGTTCGTAATTTGCACAAAATGTCCCTATCACACTGTATACATACTGACGACTTTTATTGCTCCTTGTATGCCTCTGTGTAGAAAGCATACACAGACAGACCTTTTGATCATGAAAAAAAGTCATGCACAATGTTTCCTTGATTGGTTAATCACCCTGTCAAATATTCTGATGACGTAATAGACATCTTTTTTTTTTTTTTACACACCGCGTGAACTTGAGTGACCTTAGGGGAATTCAATTTACACACCTGTTAGATAATACTGTAACTTACAGCATTTCTTAAAATAGCAACACTTTTTTTTCAGTTACCGATATTTATTCAAAATATTAAGTAGATTAATGATTTTTTGTTTGTTTATTGGATTAAATTTACGGTAGTAGAAATGCTTATCTGTGTGGGAAAGGGATAAGGTAAGTAGATAATTGGAAAAATGCTATAGGGAAATGGATAAACTCAAGAATATGCGGAATTACATGGGAATGGGTAACCTGTTGCTGTTGGTACCAGTTTTGTCTGGATGACGAAATAACTTACAATATAAGTATGGCACAGATTTTAGATGCACCCTTGGCCCTTTGCTGCCATTCTCATTTTTTAGCGCCAATGGCACAGGCAGATCTCTGCATATTTCACCATTGTAGGCGATTCGCTCCCATGCAAAATGGGCGCTCTGATTGGCTAATGCCGATGATGGGCGGTTACCGATCACAGGGATTTAACGTTTCAAGCAAATGGGGGATTAGTCTTGCACAAGTAATCATCGGAAATTAAATTATTCAACTGAAGAAATTGAAAAATTATTCAACTGATTAAAACAGTACATAGAAATCACTAATCGTGATATTTTCGATTATAAACCACCCGATTTGCATGCGTCAAATTGAACGCAACTGTGCGTCTTTTTCGATTTTTATGCGTATTTCACGCAAGACGCACATCTAGATTAATCACTGATGCATATAGGGAAAATCAATGACCCCCTGGGGCGGGGCCAATTTTGACCCCAGAGCTATTATTTGAACAAACTTGGTAGACACTCACTAGAAGATGTTTCATACCACATATCTAAGCTCTAGCTCTTTGGGTTTTTTAGAAGAAGATATTTAAAGTTTTTTCTTTTGGTTGCCATGGCAACCAGAGTTCTGCATGGAATTAATTTCAACAATTTTCAAAGGCGACCACCAAAGGAACATTCCTGTGAAGTTAGGATGAAATTGGCTTAGTGGTTTATGAGGAGATGTCATTTAAAGTAAAAGTTTACGGACGCCGGACGAAAAGCGTTCACAAAAGCTCACCCTGTCACTTTGTGACAGGTGAGCTAAAAAGTAAAGTCATTTAATTGTACTCTTTAGATTTACGATATATCTAAATTTACCCCCACATTCTGAAAAGTGGGGGTAATTACCCCCAGTGCCAAAAAATTATCTGGAACTCTGTGACTTATATTGAAAATGGTGATTTACTGACTTTTGTATTTTATATAAGTTTATTTAAGTACTAAAAAATTAAAGAAAAAAATAAAACCTTATCTTTTATTATAAATATTGAAATCTTGTCAACAAAGATGTTCTAAATATAGTACACGACTCTAATCAGTTCCCGCAAATGATGTCATACAAGGTCTCGCGTAGCTCCTAAATGTCATGGTCGACGTATTTGATGTTTCACATGTAAATATGCAATTTTAATGACGGTATTATTATTTTGATTCTTTAAGTGGTATATATAAATAATTGTTTTATCGCAAAATGCACAAGAATAAATTGGGGCAAGGATATTTGCAAGTGAAAAATAATGTTAAATCAACGTATGTTATTCTGGTTAGGTTTCGTAATGGGTCTAATCCATAACTTTAATGCCGCATCAGATGAAAAACAAAAATGTTAAAAAGCGGCATATAAAGTTTTGGAAGCCAGAACTAGTTACTACAGTAGATGCAATGGTTTATTTGAGACAACAAAAAATGAAATCTACAATGACCCTATTTATAAATCATGTACACATTGAGCCTTAAATAATACGGGGAAATTAAAGACCGGGCCCGCGAAGCGGGTCCGGGCTTTGGCTTGCCCGGCTATAGACTACACGTGAATATTTTAAAGAAAATCAAATAAAAAAACAATTAAAAATATATAGAATTCTATACCTATCAATGAAATTTTCAGTGTCAGTTCTAGTCCAGCGCCGCCATTTACAATGTATGTCAATGATAATAGGCGGGGTATTCCGATAACGGAACAAATCTCAACTTTTCGGATTAGTAATAATCATCGAGTGTTCCGAGTGAAAACGGAAGCGGTGTATGTATTATCGAATGACACCTTTAAAACGGAAAGAATAAAAGGATTTTTTTTAACGACTTCCCCGTTCATAGGCTTTGCCTAATTTCATATTAAATGAATACAAATTTATAAATATGCTTTCATTATACTACTTAAGGTAGCTCTTAAAACTGATACCAAATTATCTAGTCTCAGTAGACAACCTGTCAAAACAAAAAAAAAACACCGATAAACGTTCTTTCTGCTAGAATGTTAAGTCAGTAACGATTTTTTTAAAACTGAGATACTTGTCGTTTTAAGAAAAGGTTGTCAGTCGCACAGTCGCACTGATATTACATTTATCTTACCTTAACAAGAAGTCTCAAATAAATATCATCACTTTTTGGGGCTGTGCGGTGCACCTTCCGCTTAAAGCGGTGTGTTATGTCTATGCCCTGCAATATACAAAGATATAGTATAACAATTGGGCATTTTAGTTAAATAAATGCATTTTAGAGCCGGATAACAACTGATGAGCACTATGGTCAATCGATTTATCTCAAAAGGCCCGAGAACAACTTACCATTTTTAGATTTTTACCGGAAAAGGAAGTTAATGTTGGCCTGGTTTTCGTTCCTGAACCGAAAAGCTAGGTTCCAGTAGAGGCACTACTTGGATGGAATATTAGTAGTTCTGAAGAACAATGTTCTAAATTTAATTATATATCGGTATTATAACAAATAATTATACATAATGTATATCGGTTATGTTAAAAAAAAAAACATAACAAATAAAACACGTTGGCTGAACATATTAATTTTAGTATTGAATTAAATTGTGAAAAATATGCGATTTAATACAACAATATGAGGATCGCATGAAAATAAATGACTGTTATTATTAGCTAAATAATATGTATGTATATCAGTGATATACATGTAGTTGTTTCTGGTAGAAATGCATTTCTTCCAATGGTTAAGAAAGGCAATTTAAAATAGCACATATAATTTTCTTAACCTTTGCATCATTTAAGTAAACTGTGATTGAAGCAAACTGATCTTGAGGTCATCAGGATCTATTTGTTCACTCTGTTAGCTGAATCGTTTCATTTAAATTTTTTTCGTTATTTCAGTCATTATATAAAGTTTTTAAACAATTCTTTTTCAAATATTTTGCTATTCTAAAATGAGTATTTCTGCCATTTCACGTAAGCAACTATTGGATAAAATCCGTTGCATAGATTTTTAGCACACTGTACCATGACCGTGAATATATAAATTTACAGATCCAAATTTGAAATCAAATGAGGCGCTGCTTGCCACATCATTAAATTATCTGCTCTTTAAAATGACCTAAAAGAGCAATAGTTGACTCAAATATATAACGTTCTAATCATGATTCACTTTATTTAATCATGCAAGGTTTAAGAAAATCATCTGCGCCAGTTTGATTAAAGTTTTCTTCTTTGCCACTGAAACATATGAAATTCTTGTATTGAAGGAACTAACATTTTATTTTCCCATGTGTGTTTGCCACAGGGTACAAAAAAGTGCAGCCTGACCGGGACTCAAACCCATTTTGGAATACCTACTGATCGAGCAGTTCTAAATCAACATGTTACATCTCTTTGTCTCGAAATTCGGTTGGTTGCTTTAGTAATGACCGTATAAACACGTATTAAGAATATTAGGCCTGAATTGTTGGGAAACGGGAATTTGCAAAATTTTGTCTAAAGTGCTTCATATAATTTAGATTGAATATACATTAATACTATTAAGTATATGAATGGAGCCTGTAGTTATTTTAAAACTTTTCAAGGGTATTTGGTTGGAACAAAAAATATCTTAAACATGATAAATGGATAAATGATCAAATAAAGACAATTTATCGATGCATTTTATAGTGATCTACATGTATTCTGAAAAAACATCTTACCAGGTGCAGATTTTTTTCTCTTTTTTACGTATATCGTTACAGGTTACAGTTTGTTATTATGGGAAGGAAGAACTACGTTTGTAGACATAAAGCAGACGACGGAACAGTATATTTGCCATCATTGAAAAATACGAAACAAGGTTTAGTAACAAAATGGCAAATATGTTATTCCTAATCATACATTTTATCTAAACTCTGGTATAAATCTTATTTTTGCTTGTTTTGATTATTTCTTCGTTTTCTGTATTTACATCTGAAGTTAAATATTTTGGTTTGAATATCGATTGTTCCCTATCAGGAGAAAAAATTGTCAAGAGCATTCTTTCAAAGGTGAATGGAAGATGACATTTTCTATATCGTTACAAAAATTGTTTATCGGAAGAAATAAAGATACAATTATGTCCTGCTTTTTGCTATTCCAAAGACATATATGCTCCTAGGAAAGAAAGAATTTTGATGGTAAATAAATGTGTCCTCGAGTAGGGTATCAGGTAGTTCAGTTGAGTAAGGTGTTGGTGGTCAACAAAGACAATGTTGTTTCGTATTTTATACAAGTAGGTTACAGCACTGATGTTTCGACGCTGTTCAAGTGTTTGCCAATTAAGATCATTTATCATTTTTGAGACATTACTTGTATAGTCATAATCATTAAAAATATATCTAACAGCTGATCTTTGGACTTGCTCTATCTTATGAATTAAGTATTTCTGGCAATGATGCCAAACTATGGAGCAATATTCAACCTGAGGTCTTACATAGGTCTCATATGTATATGCAGTTTCCTTTATCTTTTTATCTGGGGTTTTAACATTTCTTCTAATTAATGAATCTAAGGGAGTTATTTGCTTTAAATGTAATATTGTTTATATGTTTGGTCCATGAAAGGTCTTGACTAATAGTGACTCCTAAGTTTTTTGCTTCTTGTGTCGAGTTAAGTTGAATGTTATGGAGGGTATAAGGAAATATTACAGGGTTTCTTTTTCTTGTTATCCTGAGAACTTCACAGTTATCAGGGTTGAACTCCATGAACCAGTCTTTTTTCCCATATATCTAAAGCATGTAGGTCATCTTGGGGGTGCATCTTGTTTAGATCTGATGGTTAGGTACATATGTAGACAACAGCTAGTACCATCTGCAAAGAGTCTAATCTTACCTTTGACACTATCCGGGAGGTCGTTTATATAGGAAAGGAAAAGGCAGGGACCAAATAATGAGCCTTGGGGGACACCTGAGAGGACTGGTAGAATTTCTGATTTTTGACCTTCAACTACAACTTGCGGGGAGCGTGACTTAAGGAAGGAATATGGACCCAATTTGTAACTTTGTGACTTTTTTCCAATTTACTCACAAGTTTGTGATGGTCCACCTTATCAAATGCCTTGTGTTCAATTACATCATAAAAGCATAGTTTGGTCTATTTCAAGGTTAAATTGTCCATTTCAAAGTCAAAGCAAACAAGATACTATTATATATAGAACGAAGAAAGCGAACAATAGTGAGCGGCTATAGGGTTTTATTGTTTTTATTGGGTACAATTTCACACAATTTAATTATCGGTTAGGACAATCAGTCTCTCACAAGCCGATATCATATGTACATTTCTTTAAATTATGGGCTTTCAGGGATATTATAAACGGATGATGATTCGACATCAGCAACAATTATGCTTGTAAGTTAAAAAATAAACGTTTCAGAGAGCTCTACTAAGTTATTTATTATCAATAAATATTTTGAATAATAAAACTGCTACCGGCTCCTTTTTTCTTTACTTGCACCTGGGACTAAAAATGTAACTGTAAAGTGTATCTTTCTGTCCCAGCTTGTACCAGGGTCTTTCAAATTTAGACTTTTAAATAGTGTTGCCCTATGTATTATCTATAGATGGAATTTAAGTAAGCTAAACTCGTAGCAACCAATTGACTCACAATCAGTAATGGGCGAATAGATATCCTGAAACAGAGACTTTTATCAAATAAAGTTCCATGCCTGAAATAACATTTTCTTAGATAGTAGAATCTACTAAGATTGGAATTTGTATTCATCCTAATAGATCTAAATGTTCACTGCTTATATTTGTTTGAAAGTTTTTCGAACTATAAATCAAATCAACCCAGTTGGTAATCACGTGATTTATTTTGATGACACATGATCGTAAAAATGGGAACTGTTGTTGTTGCAAGCAAAACACCAACAATGTCGCGACATGAGTGTTTGTTAGAAGGACATTTTGAGGTATTTCCTAACGAAAAAATATTATATCAAGTTGAATTAACTAGAAGTGGTATAACATATTATCCAATAGATGGAGTAAAAAGCAACAAAACAGTGAAATATATTCATTTTGGTGATGTTATTGGCTGTAGATGCAGAAAATCATTGGACCAAAAACACGCTAACAAAGCATACATTACTGTGTTTGCTTACCCGTTAAAAAAAAAACTTTTCAGTGAAAAACATGTTCGCTATAAAAACCATATTACATTTGCGCGTAGCTCTGATTCAAATTTTGATGGAAATAGAAAAATTGTAGAAAAATGGAGGAGAGTTATTCTACATCTTTGTCAACAGTTGCCAGTAAACAAAAAAGGTTTGTATGAAAAGATATAAGATTAATATGTAATTAGGCAAAGCCTACAAACAGGGAAGTCAGTTAAAATAATTGTTCACAGGGCCAAAAAACCCTTCTTTGTAGAGGCCGAATATAGGCTGCTTCCCCAACCAAACTAGCCTCTTTTTTCCCCAGTTTGATCCTCAAAATTCCCCAGTCTTTTGTAATTTCCCATAGAATTTAGAACAAAATTAGATGATGGTGTTGAATTAGGGTCTTTTACTGCCTTATTAGTATTTCCCAGTGCTTTTTGCTTTTCTATTTTGAAGAACTTGTTAAAAAGTTTCTGTTAAATTTGAGACCCCTTTTCCCAAAGTATGCCAAAATCACGCAATTTTCCCCAAGAAAAAGGCTGAGGCCCCTTCCCCAAAAATGGTGTTTTGGCCCTGGTTCATTTTTTATTTTACATTATCCATTTTATAAGTGTTATTCAGTATTTCATGCTCCGCTTCTGGCTTTTACTCGGAACATCTTGATGATTATTATTGAGCAGAAAAGTTGCGAAACACTATCGGAATACCCCGCCTATTGTCATTTATTTTCAATGAAAATGGCGGCGCCCAACAAAATATGACACTAAAAATTTCACTGATAGGTATAGAAATCTATATATTTTTTAATTGTTTTTAGCTCGACTATTCGCAGAATAATCGAGCTAATGCAGTCACCCATTTGTCGGCGTCGGCGTCGGTGTCGGCGTCGGCGTCCCTGTGGTTAAGTTTTTGTATGTAAGCTGGTATCTCCATAACTACTGAAGGGAATGGATTAAAACTTCACACACTTGTTCTCTGTGATTATCTAAGATGATTGGCACAAGTCCCATAACTCTGATTTGCTTTTTTTCATAATTATGCCCCTTTTTCGACTTAGAAATTCGTGGTTAAGTTTTTGTATGTAAGCTGGTATCTCCATAACTACTGAAGGGAATGGATTGAAACTTCGCACACTTGTTCTCTGTGATTATCTAGGATGATTGGCACAAGTCCCATAACTCTGATTTGCTTTTTTACATAATTATGCCCCTTTTCGACTTAGAAATTCTTGGTTAAGTTTTTGTATGTAAGCTGGTATCTCCATAACTACTGAATGGAATGGATTGAAACTTCACACACTTGTTCTCTGTGATTATCTTAGATGATTGGTACAAGTCCCATAACTCTGATTTGCTTTTTTACATAATTATGTCCCTTTTTCGACTTAGAAATTCTTGGTTAAGTTTTTGCGTGTAAGCTGGTATGTCCATATTAACTACTGATGGGAATGGATTGAAACTTCACACACTTGTTCTCTGTGATTATCTAAGATGATTGGTACAAGTCCCATAACTCTGATTTGCTTTTTTACATAATATGCCCCTTTTTCTACTTAGAAATTCTTGGTTAAGTTTTTGCGTGTAAGCTGGTATCTCCATAACTACTGAAGGGAATGGATTGAAACTTCACACACTTGTTCTCTGTGATTATCTAAGATGATTGGCACAAGTCCCATAACTCTGATTTGCTTTTTTACATAATAATGCCCCTTTTTCGACTTAGAAATTCTTGTTTAAGTTTTTGCGTGTGAGCTGGTATCTCCATAACTACTGAAGGGAATGGATTGAAACTTCACACACTTGTTCTCTGTGATTATCAAAGATGATTGGCACAAGTCCCATAACTCTGATTTGCTTTTTTACATAATAATGCCCCTTTTTCGACTTAGAAATTCTTGGTTAAGTTTTTGCGTGTAAGCTGGTATCTCCATAACTACTGAAGGGAATGGATTGAAACTTCACACACTTGTTTTCTGTGATTATCTTAGTTGATTGGCACAAGTCCCATAACTCTGATTTGCTTTTTTACATAATAATGTCCCTTTTTCTACTTAGAAATTCTTGTTTAAGTTTTTGCGTGTAAGCTGGTATCTCCATAACTACTGAAGGGAATGGATTGAAACTTCACACACTTGTATTCTGTGATTATCTAAGATGATTGACACAAGTCCCATTAATCTGATTTGCTTTTTAACATAATTATGCCCCTTTTTGGACTTAGAAATTCTTGGTTAATTTTTTGCGTGTAAGCTGGTATCTCCATAACTACTGAAGGGAATGGATTGAAACTTAACACTCTTGTTGTCTGTGATTATCTAAGATGATTGGCACAAGTCCCATAACTCGGATTTTCTTTTTCGCATAATAATGCTCCTTTTTCGATTCATAAATTCTTGGTTAAGTTTTTGTGTGTAAGCTTGTATCTCCATAACTACTGAAGGGAATGTATTGAAACTTGAAGGGTTTGTACCTTTTCGGACAATTTTATGTATTCATATAGGTAAGCATTATTATAATCAATCAAACACCCTTGTGACAAATTTTCAAATAGTCGAGCGTTACTGTCCTCCGACAGTTCTTGTTTTATTTGATTTCCTTTTAAATATACACATGTTGTCTATATAGCCGGGCAAGCCAAAGCCTGGGCCCCCTTGCAGACCTGACCTCCGACTGCCATATGATAAAATTGTATGGATAATTATACCTTATTACATAGCATCGTGTTAACTTGTCAGTGTTTAATGACTTTTTTTAACTTAAGTTTTTGCTAGTATAAATTTGTATGAACACTTACAGTACTTATATTTAAGTGGAATGATATATCACTGTATTTCAAATTTTTAGTACATTTTTTGTTTTACATATATTTCTATGGAAGTTTCAGAAATATAATGTCTATATATCTTGACTTTAATTAAATGTTGGTATTTCTTAATAAACTTGTATTTTTTAACAAACCAAGCTAATTTCAGGGTTTATATTAATATTAACAGATTAGTGATCCATATATCATTAGTTAATTAAAATACTGTTTAAATCTGATATTGTTTTAGCCTGTAAATAAAAATATACCCCTTGACCCCTGGCAAAATTTGTTGTTTTGGTTAGCACATCTGTTTTCTTCAATAAAAATGAAGACCCTGTAGTTAAACTAACACATACAGAACAAAAATTGTGGAAGGTTTACCCTAACATATCTCACAGCCTTATGCAGTTAAAAGCATAGAATAATACCTGTAATAACATAAGTGATTAAAACTTATTAATTATTCCTTCTCTGAAAAAAATGCTTTAAAATAAAAGAAAAACAATAAAAGAACCAGTTAATAATTAAAGCACTGATGTTAATTGTTCATTTATTCCACAATGTAAGAAAGAAGAAAAAACATGAGTCTATTGCACAAATACAGCAGGGTAATGGATAACATTCATTCCAGCTGTACCATAAGTATGTTAGGGTAATGGATAACATTCATTCCAGCTGTACCATAAGTATGTTAGGGTAATGGATAACATTCATTCCAGCTGTACCATAAGTATGTTAGGGTAATGGATAACATTCATTCCAGCTGTACCATAAGTATGTTTTTAAATACACACTTTGTGTTATTATTTATTTACATTATAACTGCTTAATGTTTGATTAAATGCCCATTACAATTATGCCCCTGAAATGCATTTACATGTATTTTCATTTCAAAAGCATTGTATTTTTTGTGATTTAGTATTTTGTATAGAAGACACAAGACTTCTTTGTTTACATCTAACTACGTTTACAACAAATATTTTGATATTTTATAGTGGTACTTTCTTCAGGTAACACAAGTCTAGACTAACATACACATGTACTCTGAAACCATTATTTAAGTTTAATTTTAACTCATGTTTGTCATTTCTAATGAAGTGAATATTTATTTGTTTCTGAGGGATAATGTGCTTTTAAAGTTAAAAAATACAAAAGAGTTGCAGAGACCAAACTATAACTGTTCAACTTGATGGTGAATTTCATGCATTCTTGTGTTGGCAAATGAAATACCCTTGGTATTAAATGTGGTAAAAGGGGGTAAAAATTAAGCACATAAACAGTTTCAGCTCATTTAAAGCTTCCATATATAGAAACAAGTGCTAAAGATCCACCAGTGAATGTAGACTTGGCCTTTCATGATGTTGTGAGAGTTATAAGACAGCAACCAAAAGAATTCAAGAAACAGCTCAAAACCCACAAAGGCAAAAGACGGAGATGTACAATATTATAACAGGTGATATAAAAGAAAGATGTATTGAAGAACTGTTTATTTACCTGGAAGATGTCCCTATATCCTCTTCCTGGCTCAAAAGAACAGTTTGGTGATGAAGTCATTTAAGTGCCATTGTTTGAAAGACCTAGAAAACAGTAAAAAAATGCCTTGTTTTTGTGTAAGCAATCAACATTGTTACATTGCAATAGTATTTGAGTTAAGTCTGCATTGTCTTGAATGGAAATGTCATTGTTTCTGTTAAATTGAAAGTCACAATTAAAACTGTTAAAATGTTAAAAGTTAAAATGCAGTCGTTTTGAAAGTAGATGATTCTATTCAAGTTCTTGCTTGTGCTTGAAATAATAAGGTAGGGAAATATGACATTTAAATATAGAAGACATTCTCATTTTTGAAAGTCACAATAAGACTGTATGTTTTGAGTTGAATACCAACAGCTCCCTCAATCACCTCCCTTAACACCATTCACCCACCACAGTACATGTACACAGTGAATATAATTGCATTAAGCATAGGGAATCAATACCTTTAATGAATTGTATATAAATGTGTTATAAGGTGCTTACCTTGAACCACTTGCCTATTATTGTGTAGGTTTGTCAATTAGATAATGAATTTAATAGGACCAAATCATGAATTAATTGAATTAGAAAAGAATTACTTCAATTTGACAGGAATATAAGTTTGTTAATAAACATTTAATATTGCTGAAAATGACACCAGAGAAGACTTTTAAGCAATAAATGGACACTATCTAATTACATACACTCATACACATGTAGGATTGGGGATGAGGCAAAGCAATTAGATATATTACAAATGTATATTTACATTACAGTTAGTATAAACAATTTAGTTAACTATTTGAACTCATCATTAGCACTCCCTAAATATAAAGAGCAAAAAATCAA